GTCAGCTCTGGGGTAGCTGCACTGGCCGTACTCGCCACCTGGTCCTCTAACCGTCGGATCTGCTCAGTCAGGGAGCTCACCAGCGCTGTCAGCTCCTCTGTCCGCATCCCATGCATGTTTTCCAGTTCTGTCAGCCTCGTGCATATGTTGCAAATGAACGGGTCTGTATCTTCCTCCGCCTCCGAGACATCCTTGTAACGGCTTTCTTCCAGGAAGGCCCACCTCCTGGATCCGTCGCACTTTATGCGTACTTCGTCGCCAGCTTCCCCACTGCGCCATAGCCGTGGGCTCTGCTGGTTTTCCCCTGGCTGTTTGTTATTCGCGATTTCGCCGTTTCGCTTTTTCGCCATTTCGCGAGTCACAATTGTACACAATCAAAATTGGGCTCATGGCGAACACCTTTGTTGCTCACAACGTGGCCCAGGAACAGTAGTTCACCGTATGCTAACTGACACTTTGTAGGCTTGAGTGACATGCCGGCGGTCGTGATGGCTTGAAGCACGGCTCTAAGTCGTCTAAGGTGTTCATAAAATTCCCATGAAAATACTATGACATCGTTAAAACAGACGAGGCAGCTCTGCCATTTCAGACCTGCCAGCACGGTGTCTATGACACACTGAAAGACGGCTGAAGGTCGAGCAGCCATCCTCGTTCAGTAGCTAGAAGCTTCGGGTGGATGTCAAGTTTCGAGGGTGGCGTTCTGTCGTGCAGTGATGATGTCGGCTTTTCCGAAAGTGCAGCGATCGCGGGGGAGTTCCGGAGTTCGTCGATCTGGCCCCTGGCGATACCTTTCGTAAGGTGTTGACGCTGTTGTCGGGCATTGGTAACCAGGACCATGGCACGCCTGTCTTGAAGTTTTGCTACTCCTCTTCCGAAACCGACTCCTCTTTTTAGAAGCACCCGGATGCTTCCCTCGAGCAGTACTTCGCCGCTGGTAGCTTCATCGTTCCCGGCGGGTACGAAAGCACTCTACCGCGGCGGTAAGTTCCCGTGGTTTGCGGGGACTCGAACCGCGGATGACGTCGCGTTGGGTTCCTCCAGTGGTGGGACAGGTTTTCGAAGCGTCAACCGCGGTTTTCTCCCAGATCGACGACGGCGCCGTACTCACATAGGAAGTCCATTCCGAGGATAATGCCCCTCGTAGTCATGCAAAAAAAAAAAAAGAATTTTACGGGACAGGTTTTACCATGGATCTCAACTCGTGCAGTGCACATTCCAGTCGGCGTTATTAGGTGGCCTCCAGCCGTTTTCATTTGCGGGTCATCTCACTGCGTCGTCACTTTCCGAAGACGCTATGAAAGCCTCCCACTCAAAACGGAGTAGTCTGTTCCGGTGTCAATCAATCAATCAATCAATCAATCAATACTTTATTTTCTTTCACAAAAAAGATGGCAGCTGGGACAAAAATCTGCAACAAGTACAGCTTGACGAGGCCCCAGCTCCAAGATGGCAGTTAGCATTCGACGCCAGTTAAACATGCAGTAATACACAGCGATTCAAGCAAAATAAATATATACACACGGGCGTACTTTTAGCTTAAAGTACAGAACAAAAACAACAAAATTTCAAACATTCTTGCTACATAGTACACCAGGATAGCTAGGTTCGACATTGTACATGTTCCTTTTAAAAGTACACGGAAGTGACGTCTTCACGTCTGATCGGTTGGAAGCAAGAGTGACGTAATTTCCCTAGAGAAATGTGGGCGGAGTCGGCTAAACTGGGTGTAGTCGGCTACCGGACGTGACAACATATTGACGTTTCGTCTTGTACTAAGTACGTTTCAAAAGGTACTAGCTCCTGAGTAGGTGTCTTTTGTTGGTCATATTTTCCAAACCGCGTCGTCGTCGGGTGATTATGCCACTTTTCAACTAATTTAGTTATTGTTTTCGTCGGGAAGACTTCCCGGCAGCACCTTCGTAGAGTGAACTAGAAAGGTCTGAGTGAGACGACCGAAGCGTTTTTTCGGCGCCACCGCTTGTGAAACGATCTTGCCGTTGGAACGCAACGTGTTTTTTCTACATGCGGAGGTACCTAAATAGCACTCCGGTAGCCCCACTCCGTCCTTCTATACTTCGTTTCAACTTCGGTCCAGACGCAGCCGATGCTACAAGCGCGAGCATGTGGCCCAGAACAGTGCTTGCACTGCACGAGCGCGCGTGCTTGGCAGGGATGCTGAAAGCCCGGAGCTCGCGCTTGTAGCTTTGGCTGCGTCTGGACCGAAGCTGAAACGAAGTATAGTACACTCTATCAGTGCTGCGCTGTGCCGCCATAATCTTCCCAAGGGCTACACGTTGCACGTGCCTCGTGCATCGACGAACCTTGCGCTACTTTTGAAACACGAAGGAGCTTTAACAATCTCGCCTAGTACTAATATCCGAGGACTGTTTGCCCAATATGTCCTATAGTATACATAGCTAACTCCTCCGTAACGTCATTCGCGGTCATGCCGGTATCTACGTGCCAGGAGCGTTCGATTCATCGTGTTAGTTTCACATCGCAGCTCGGGAGAATTCTTAAGTATAAAGAACCGTCAGTAGCATGCGATGGCGACACCTCTAAAGCTATGTGTATACAGTATTCAGTGGGCGCGTTATTCGCAGCGCATGTTGGGGAGAAGGGGGGGGGGGGGGTTATGGTTGGTTGGCAGAGGTCTCCGCATTCTCAGGTCAAGCTCCTACCTAACGTCTGCAAAGAATGGCGATCTTGGTGGTGTGGAATGCACGTTCCGGAAGGACTGTGGAAGTTAACATATACAGCGTAGTAGACTTGTTAGCGCTCTCGGCCAAGTCCCATGCAGGACTAAAACGCCACGAGAAAGTCATTTTTACTGCCACGAACTGGGTCCGCTTCTTAGAGGCCGATGACGAGGCGGAATTCTAAGAAATCGGGTTGCTCCCAGATCAACGACGGCGCCGTACTCGCATAGGAAGTCCATTCCAAGAATAATGTCCGAGGGGGATGGGCTAAAGCGCACACCCAGCTCGACGCGCGTGGTGCGAAAGCTCGCGCTGCAGAACCCAGGGATCCTGGGTTCGAGCCCCACCCCTGCCCGTTTCGATTTGGTTGAGCATCGTATCGGCGTGCGGTTGTGTATCACTACTGCGTGGTGCACGTTAAAGACCCCAGGCTAGCGGTTGTACTGCACTGGCTAAACTGTTCATCTACATCTCGTCGCTACTTTCATGGCTGACCAACTACACGCTGTATAAATATTCCCACAAACCCAATTACAATAATGTCCCTCGCAGTCCCGCAAAAAAACGAATTTCGCGGGGCACGTCTCATTATGGATCTCAACTCGAGCAGTGCACAGACCGCCATGAGGCGCAATCTTGAAATCTATTGAATTGGTTTAAGAATAGCTTTTTTTACTTTTTTGCCGGCGGCCCAGAAACACTATTCTAGACGAGTTTCTGGGCTGCCGCCACAACATAGACCATATCTAAGCAAAAAAGAAGAGCGTACATTTTTGTTTCCGTGCACTTTTAAGCGGGCGCCCGTGTGGTATACCGTGACCGCGTGGCGCGCGCTTGAAAGCATGCTTCAAAGACTCCGGTAGTGTTTCGGCGGCTCTCTCTTATTGTTCCTATCTGTGACGTCGTGACTGGGCTTATCGATCACCAGCGAAAATTTTGATGTTGTGTAAAACGCACGGTGTAAGCTTATAGTCACCGCTTCCGTTAAAGTTGATGGTCTGGCAATCTTCTTATTTCAATTAGGGAAAGGGAATTCATCCCACTAAGGACGTCATAGTGAGCGTTTGGCCAATGTGGAAGGCCGACCGAAGCGACGATTTTGGTCGCGCACATCGCCAATAGGGAGTATTCACTGGCGGCGAGCTTCCGCAGTTCTTTTGCAACGTGCATTCCGCACCATCAAGATTGAAAGACTCAGCAGCCTATTATTGTGAGCTCGTTCTGAGCATGCACTCTAAACATCGCTCTCAAACATGGTGTCCAGTGAATACCTAGGGAAGAAACAGAAATACGTTTCGTGGAGCACGAGCTGTTAATTAAAGGAGCTGTGCAACGATATTCAATTGGAATGTTTTTCTCTCTACACGAGCTTACTGGCACACCTCGGACTCAAGGATACTCACACGCAACACCATTGGCCAAGAAACTCCTTTGTTGTGGTGTAATTTCAAGAACAAAAGCGATCATTTTCATTCAATCTCTCCTTTGCAAAATTTGATGACGTAACTCGGGGATCGCAGTACACCCAAGTGACGATATTTGAATGCGGTTCATAGATTGGACCCGAGCATTGCGTGGGCACTCGACTTGGGCTCGTGACAATTGCTAGCTCGAGAAGCATTCTGGTTGTGACCCGTGTCCAATCGCTGCAACGACGACAACAGCCGAGCCATAACAATGTCTGGAACTCAGCGCGTGTCCTGCGCTTTGCCAACCCCTGCGCGTGGCTATGATCAACACTGGCGGCATATAATCGGCTCCAGATCACGTGGCCGCTTGTTCTGGCTGCGAGTTGAGGGGGTGAACGCCGCTCGTTTTTCTTAAATTTTTTTCTGGGACTTCTATTGCGTGGGGTGAAAAACGAACGCGTGTTTCATAGGTCATTAACGTTAGGGATCCGATTTAAGCGGTATTTGTGCACAGTACAAAAATTGTTGCATCGCTCCTTTAAGGAACGCGGGCGCCCTCAATGAACGTTCGAATATCAACTGCTCCTTCTAACATTGTCGTTCATTCTTTTGGAAATCTTGGCTCCGTATTGTTGCGACCAAGATTTGCCTCGCCGTGAAGTCACGGTTCTACGCCTGGCTCTTTTGCGGACGGCAAATTTGGTGGCGTCATAGAGGAGCGATTATCGCGCACAATTTCAGATATCTCCTTATTGCTCTGTCGTAATTTTAAGGAAATTACGTGACGCCGTTCCGAAGCCTTTAAGAAAATAAAAGAATGAAAACAGATATTTTGAATCTGTCAATGCCCCTTTAACGGCAATTTGAAACCGGTGGGTCGACAAGGTAGAAGGAGAACAATTAAGACACTTTATTGAACCTCGCTCCGAGGCGACCGGCACGCCTGCAAGAGCACGGCCCTGGCCCTGGTGTCGGCGTCGGCGTCGAATGACTGGAAGGACGTCTCGTCTTCGGGGCGCGAGCTCATCTCCGGCCCTCTGGCACCGATCCTGTCGTCGTACGGCTCGCAAGACAGCTCTTCCACGCGCCGCACGGGTCTGTGCTCCTGGACCAGCAGCCGCGTCAGCTCGTCGCTCGATGTCTTCTTGAGACAGTAGGGTGAATTGGCGTGGACGGGCGGCGGAGACCGCAGCGGCGGCACCTCGCCGCTGTCTCCCAACAGACGCTTGTCCTCGTCGTCCGGCTTCTTCACCGCGGCGCCAATCTCCTGCGCGTCGGCAGCCGGGGACTGCGCCCGGGCGGGGTCCACGTCCTTCAACGGGTTCAGGTTCTCCGTCGGCTGCTTGGCCGAGTCTCCGGAGTCTGTGCCCTGGGTGCACATGAAGGACCAAGAGCTGGTCTCCATAGCCGCGAACGGGATGACGGCCGGCGCCAGGGAGATGTCCGTCTGGACGTTCTTGGAAGGCCGTGTCTCGTCGCTGGTCTCTTCCTCACGCTCGAACAGGTCTCTTCCGTCGAGCAGGTGCTGCAGCATGAGCCCCCTGGGCCCTGCGCTGACGAGCTCCAGGCCTCGGCGCAGGCGCTGCACGGGCACGGAGTTTGGGACGCCAAGTTCACTCGGCTGCACGGGACTGGTGGCCACGAACGGTGGCAGGCGCACGTCGTCGCTCGACCTGCGCTGCACGACCGGGGACGTCGAAGGCGCGGCCTCTTGTACGTTGGTCGTGAAGAGGGGATCCTGCCAATCTGCAGTAGAAGAAACATGCTCGCTTAGTATTTCTTTATGAATGCAGGACGCATTTTAAACGCCGACCTACAGAATTGTCTTCTCCCGGGCAGAAAACCAGTTCCCAGTTTTTCTCCCTCCATTCCTTCTCCCACTCTTCTCCCCTCCTCTACTCACAGGAGAGGGTATCTGAGTATTACTCTCCGCAGAAAGGAGGAAGGTCTCAGTGGATTCGACACAGCGCACAAGAAACGAAGGGGTGTAGACAGTACAAGCGCTTACTCTCAACTGAAGTTTTTATCGAAAAAAAAAAAAACACCGAAGTAAACAACAGCATTCCACACCATCATGGCCAATTCAGCACGTGTCGAGATAATATATCTCTTTGCATGTAGAATGACCGATGTTTGGCTTACACATTGCCCAGTCCCTTCTTTTTTGATCGTGTAGGCCTTTAAAATTTCGCCAGTCATTTGATTTCCCCTTTTCCAGAAATTGCGACGTAATGGAAGTCGGGCTGGCATCCACAATCTGCACAATAAAGCTTCAAGCCCCCCCCCCCCCCCCCCCCCCCGCTATCTCCCCCTGCTGTCGACCGCACAGACCAGGCATGCTCACGCAATCCTTCATTTACGCATCGGCCCGTTTGGTCAACGTATACCTTGTCGCACGTCAGCGGTATCTTAAACATGACGCCAATCGTACATTCCAGATATTTGTTCCTATGTTTGACTGAGAAGATGTGCTTGTATTCAATTTTGTTGGCAACTCTTGGGCACAATTGAGTGAGTTTGTTAGGTGCAGAAAACACCATAGGCACGTCGTATCTCTGCGCCACTCTTCGTAGACTGTGGGATATTTGATGAAGGTAGGGAATGACTATCGCTCTCTTGCTTTGCCTATCTCTATTACTCTCTGGCCCTCCGCTTACTTTCTTAAGCAGCGACTCTGCAATAGGTACCAAAAATGATCTGGGGAACTCGGTCGCAACCAGTCGCTCCACTTGCCGGCCGAAACGGGCGTGCATTACATGGTAGCACGATTTCTCCAAACCCGCATGCAGGCAAGATGAAGCAATTCTTCTTTTTACGAGTTTAGAATGCGAGGAGTCGAAGGGGAGGAGACCCTTCTTTACAAATTCTAGCCGGAGGTCTAGAATTTGTAAAAAGCGACCAGCCCGACGTTTGTGCGTAAATCTAAACCCCTCGGGGCACAGTGCGAAAACATCCAAAACTGCCGTGACAGTATTTTCCCCCAAACCCCACTCAGAACCTATTATAAAAACCAGGTAGTCGTTTACATGTCGAAAAACTTTGCATACTCGTTCATCATCTAGTTGGTCGCAGATGGCCAAGTCGCATTTGGCTAAGAAAAATTCACATACCACGGAAGCCACAAAAACTCGCTGAAACATTTGGTCTTGTTTTTTTCAGTCCAGCGGTCCGAGTTTGCTGCAGTCAGGCAAAGATGGCGGGTTCTTCGTGCTACCCGAGAACGTAATAAAGAGTAAGTCTGATTATGCCATTGAAAATAACTTTAGGCTACATTCTCTTGTTCCCAAGAAGGTCAAGGCTGTTGCACTGAAGCTGTGCAAGAAGTTGGAGCGGACCAAATTGGAATAGAGCATACGAAAAACTAAGACTGGGCATTTGGAGGTTTTTTTTTTTTTTTTTTTTGCTGTTAAAAAGCCACTGACACGCCAAAAAAAAAAATTTTTTTTCATGCTAGGCGTTAAAATGGCATGTCAGGACATTACAAAAAAATTGTTTCACTATAGAGGAGCTAGTTGTTGTTTTTTTTTATAAAGGGAAGGGAGGGGGAATAAACGTCTTTATTTGTCTTCAAAAGCTAGCCCATCTGGCTAGGGGAGGCCGAAAGCCCCACCCGGGGTAAGGGTGCAGGGGGCCCGGTTGCGGACCTGCCTGTCCCTCAGTTCCCGAGCCTTCTGAACGGCCCTTCGCTGTCCTTCCAGTGTCGTATCCTTGACTCCGGCGTCCAACATCTCAGGCAACGTTCCAGGCGCGCCTACCGGACTGCAGTCCCACAACACGTGCATGACCGTAGCCTTTTCCCCACATATAACACACGCATCCGTTCTGTACACGTCCGGAGCCACATACCGGCCCAACACCGGCGTGAAGATGCATTTCACTTGAAGCTGCCTTAGAAGGACGGCTTCCTCTCTGCTTAGGTTCTCGTGCGGAGGGGGATACACCCGCCGCGCTTCTCGTTTCGCTCGTAATACTTCCCCGTAGCCCACCGGAGCGAACACCGCCGCCCCACCGAAAGCCCGGCCTAATAACTCTCGGGCCATTCGGTCAGGAGCGACATTGCCGCCCATGTGCGCAGGGGTCCACACCACTTCCACCTCGTTACGAGGTTTGCACAGCTTGGCGACTAGAGGCGGAACACGACCGCGCGCGTACCCCCTCACCGCAGTCATCGAATCGCTTAGCACTGCTTTAACTCCTGGCAGGGAAACCGCTAGGCTTATGGCAATTCCTTCTGTTACACAAACATCTCCGCCCCTAACACTCAGGGCCGTCTTGATTTCCCCGGTGGCCAGATCCGTGACAACCGCCACCCCAACTCCATCACGTACAGCTGCATCAACACAGACCGCTCCTCCAGATTTCAAGAACAGTCGCTCCAGAGCTTGCGCTCTGGCCGCACGACGCCCAGCGTCCCTCGTGGGGTGCATGTGTCTCGGGATCGGGCGCACTTTCACACATCTCATGGTCTCATTGGGTAACTCAGCTAGTCCGGTGTTTCCACGACTTACGCCGACTCGGGCGAGAATTTCTCGTCCAGCCGCAGTACCGGCAAGCCTTAACTCCTGAGCTTCTCGGTGTGCCTCAATCATCTCGGTCACCGAGTTATGCACCCCAAGGGCGTCCAGGTCGGCGTTATGCGTGAAAGAGAGCACCCCCAAACCGGCTCTGCAAGCTTTCCGCACCATCGCATCCAGCTTGTTTAGCTCGGCCTTCCACCATTTGAGATATGGCCCTACATACATGATATGGCTGAGGGCAAAAGCCTGGACTAGCCTCAACACTCCCTCTTCTCTGATGCCTCGTCTCCTACTGGAGACCCTCTGTATTAATCGCATGGCTGCCAGGACCTTTGCTCTCAGCCTGTCTAGCATGGCGGAGTTGCCCGCCTTTTCTTGTAACACCAAACCCAGCACCCGAAGCGTAGGCACTTTCGGTATCAACCCTCCGTCCGCGTACAGTAATACTTCTTTCCACGAGCTTCGATGTTGTTGACACATTAAGTACTCAGATTTTTCTGGTGCACACACCAGTCCCGTTCCCTCTAAGTTTTCTTCCACCAGTTCGATACCTCTTTGCAGGGTCCCTCTCACAACCTCGCGTCGTTTGTCTAGACACCACATAGTAATGTCATCGGCGTATACTACATGTGGTATTCCTTCCCGACGTAGAGCACGTACTGCATCCACCATCACTATGTTGAACAACACAGGAGATATCACTGAACCCTGTGGTGTGCCAGCATTACCTAGGTTCCCTTCGCCTACCTCCAGATCCCCGGCCACCAATTTAGCTCTCCTGTTAGACAGGAAATCCTTTACGAAGGCAAAACTTCTATTCCCTAGCCCCGCCTTGCTAACTCCGGTTAGGATGGCTTCATGGGTTACTCGATCGAACGCACTTTTTAGATCCAGACCTAGAATCACCCCGGGCTTCTTGCTTTCCACCACCTCGTGTTTTATGATGAGCATGGCATCTTGTGCACCCAGACCCTCGCGGAAGCCGATCATTGAGCTCGGAAAGTACCCTTTGCTTTCCAAGAACGCTTGCCATCTCCTTAGGATCATATGTTCAAGGAGTTTACATACACACGAGGTGATGGAAATTGGCCTGAGGTGTTCCAGGTCCGGCGGCTTGTTGTGCTTGGGTATTAGCACCAGCTTTGCTACTTTCCAGGGCTCAGGGAGGGCTCCCTCTTCCCACACCTTGTTGTACAGGTCTAATAGTTTCTCTAGTCCCTCATCTGATAGATTTGACAAGACCGAATTACTGATCCCGTCCAATCCCGGAGCTGAGCGACGGTTAGCTTTAGTTAGTGCCGCCCTAAGCTCCCACATCTCGAATGGTTTGTCCAACTCTGGATTCTCTGGCCCTTCGTACCGTACTCCACAAGTTTTCTCACCTTTGCCCAGGAATTTGTTCTTAAGCCAATCTTTGACCTTTTGTACCCCCAGATCCCTTACAGATCTGCCGACCACTTCCTTAAGCTTGCGGCCCTTTGCCGCCTTGGTCGAGTCCTCGTTCAATAAGTGTCTAAGTAGTTGCCATGTGTCTCCACAATGTAGGCTGCCCTCCGCTCGCGCGCACACGTCGTCCCACTGCTGACGGGACAGCGCTTCGCAATGCTTCCTGATTTCCCCATTAAGCTGAGCCAATCTTTTGCGCAGGGCTCTGTTGCGCCTACCAGTTGCCCTCCACCTCATCCTGATAGAATCCTGTGCCTCTAATAAAGATATCAGTCGGCTATCTACTATGCCCCCTACTGCATTATTTATTGCCTCATCAAGGTTCACTTCCCTTCTCGCGCTTTCAACCGTATTCGTCAGTTCCCTCGACCACGCTTCAACGTTCTCAATGGGGCCGCTTGGGCATAAAGCCCTGAAAAGGTCCCAATTGACCAGGCCCTTTACTCTCCACTGCCGCGGTTTCTCCCTCAATGGTACCTCAATCTCCACTACCCGGTGATCGCTGCCGAGATCTTCCATTAGGTTTTCCCATGAGATCCTAGCGTCATTGACGTAGACCAGGTCAGGAGTTGTATCCCTATCAGCAAAATGCCGCGCAGCCCGTGTGGGCAGGCCAGGATCCGTAACCAGCATTAACCCCACTTCCTCCGCGTCTGAGAAAAGGTTCAAAGCTTTTCTAGTGTTGTGGCCATGTCCTAGAGTTTCATGGCTAGCGTTAAAGTCCCCGGCCACCACTAAGCTTCTTCCGTCTGCCCAGCGGACCGCACCGTGCAGAATGTTACT